CTAATACCAAGAAAGTAATCAGGACCCTTGAACGTTGTATAAGTTCATGGGCTGGATGAGGCTGAGCAAACTGAAATTAAATCCTGACAAAATTGAGGTGCCACAAACAGCTTGGGGGATGACTAAGGCACTGCTGGCCTCATTATGAACCTGACCAGCTATTAAGATCTTCAGCAGAGGCCTTTATAAACATCTGCAGAAGCCTATTGTGAAGAGGGACTGATTAAGACGGTTAAACCTGAAAGCGAGCTGTCCCCTCAATAGTCTGGAGCAGAAGAAATTGACAAAGCATTGTCCTTCCTTCCTTCCTTCCTTCCTTCCTTCCTTCCTTCCTTCCTTCCTGTACATTTTCATCTCACTTTCTACTGTCTGATCTGGCCTTCTATGACATTTTCAAATGTTAGCAGCCTCTGCTAAAAGGCAGCTTCTCATGCAGAGGAAGAGTTACCTATTTAAAAATACCACTCTCACCATTCCCCACTGGTCATGCTAGCGGATGATTCTGGAGGTTTTAATCCAAATTTCATCTCACTTTCTACTGTCTGATCTGGCCTTCTATGACATTTTCAAATGTTAGCAGCCTCTGCTAAAAGGCAGCTTCTCATGCAGAGGAAGAGTTACCTATTTAAAAATACCACTCTCACCATTCCCCACTGGTCATGCTAGCGGATGATTCTGGAGGTTTTAATCCAAAAAGAAAGGGGGGGGGAGCCATTTCCATGTTTTGCCCTATGATCCAAAACAAGATTTCTGGGCATCTTAAGAGATTCTAGGACATAGTCCTTGGTTTACATATTCTTTAAGGTGTGCCAAATGGCTGCTTTGGTAGATTTTTTTGGTCTCATGGCCCAGATCCCTTGCTGGAAGCAAGGCCGGCCCTACCATTATCCGAAATGAAATGGCTTTCAAGTACTGTACCGGTTGGAGGATTTGGGTGCTTATAGTTTTAAAAAGTAACTTCCCCAGGTTCTGACATGGCTGCCCGCCAGCTTCTGCCACCTGCCATGTCAGAACCTGGGGAAGTTACTTTTTAAAACTATAAGCGCCCAAATCCTCCAACCTGTACGGTACTTGAAAGCTGTGTTTGGAGGTTTCCAAAAATATAGAAAAGAATGACTCCCGGAGCCAAACGTGGTAGTTTTCTTTTTTAAAAGCACGGATGCAAACAACTGATTGCAAATATTGCTGAGGAACGGATCTCAAGGTTGTTTCCCCTTCTGGGAAGAGAAGAAGAACCGATTGAATGACAAGCTTCTTTTCTGGTGTTCCCCTTCTTCTCCTACTCTCGTGCAGGAAAAAGCTATCAGCATTTGGGAATCAAAGTATTTCTTCCTAGAACTCGATCCTTTGCCAGGAGCCGTAGAAGCTGTTAAGCAGATGGCAAAATTAGAAGCGTGAGTACAGAGATGCCGTCACGTAACCGAAGGGGAATCACCGTCAGTACATATGAGTGACAGCTGCGTGTCTTCGGCAATGGGATTAGTCCGGGGAGGGGAAGGGAAATCCCAGTTCCAAATATAATCAGGGATGAATGGGAGACCCCACAAAATCTCCAGTAAGGCATCAGAGTGCTGACTATGCTTGTCTTGTCGACAGATGTTTAATTATTTTTTAGTATAGTTTCCTATGTTGTTTTTCATGTCTAATAATTGTTTCTGATCCGCCCTGGCTCCCCTGCGGGGTGAAAGGCAGCGTACAAAAAACATCCATCAGTAAACAAATAATAATGTTTATTGGAAGCCATTTGTGGGTCGAGAGCCTTCCCCTGACTCTTGTTGGCTCTCATCCCCCGCGGCCTTGAAGAGGCAATTAAGACCCATTAGCTTTACAAAAGACCTATTTCTGATGAAGATGGAGCCCTAGAGTTTGGGATTCTCTTCTGAAGCATAGCTGTGGGAAGGGCAGCTGTCCCATTGAGCACTTCCGGATTTACCATGGATGACTGTTGAAGATAAATGCTCATTCTTTGCTTGTAGACGGATTCTGGCTTCAGCCCTCTCTCCCCTTAGTTACAAAAAGTGAAGAGGGCGGAGCTGCTGGGGATGCTAATGGGACAGTATGAGCCAAGGGGATCCGTCCCTCTGAGAGCGCTTGTGACATCCACAGAGAGTACAGTACTTTGAAATCTTAACAGAAAAGAAAATGCAATATATGAATGAAAAATAGATTTCCCCCCCCTCCATCTCTCTCTCTCTCTTTGCAGGACAGATGTATTCATATGCACGAGTCCCATCAAAAAGTATCACTATTGCCCCTATGAAAAGGTAATTAATATGCAAGGAGTGACTACAGTCATTGGGATCTAATTAAATTTCCTTCAGAGCATGGAGAAAGAGGTGTCCAGGATCCGTCTTCGGCCAGCTAACGATGCCCAAGCATAACAGGTTAGAATAGCTGTGGGCCAGCTGAGCAGAGTTGGCCGGTTGGTGCTGCATTGATGTGGATGACAAAAATCCCGGTAAACAGATGCTCTAGGTTACTTAAGATTCATTTTGCTTTGGCTTCGCTTTGCTCTGGATCGGATGTCAATTCTGTGCTTCTCTCCCTCTGACCCTTCTCTCCCCATGTTTGTGTCCTCTGGTTAACTGGGTCTGGGGCGGGGCGGGTTTCTGTCGGTGTGGTTTGCCATTACCTCTGCAGGAAAACATCCTTTCCCCAAACTTTACCCACAAATACTTTTTTTTCATCTGCCATTTCTTCTCCTTCTGCTTTCCAGTATGCCTGGGTGGAAAAGCATCTGGGCAAGGAGTTTCTGGAGCAGATCGTCCTCACCCGGGATAAGACGGTGGTCTCGGGTGACCTGCTGATCGACGACAGGCCGGACATAATAGGTAAAGGGGTTGGCCCTGACAAAAGACATCAGCTTGCCCCAAGCTTGGAAAGTTCCTCTTTTTTTGGACTACAGTTCCCAGTGTCCCCCAGCTAGTGTGTACTGGGGATGCTGGGAGTTGTGTTCCAATGGCATAACATTTCCTACGTCTCCAAAGGGACCAAAGGCTGGAATGAGAGAGAGAGAGAGAGTTCATGGAAACCTTTTTTTTTCTGAGCAGAAGCTGTAACGTTATTAAGAAATTTTGCAAAGGATAATTACATCTGGCATGGGGATTATGGGAAGCTAAGAAGGGACGTGGTGGCGCTGCAGGTTAAACCGCAGAAGCCTCTGGGATGCAAGGTCGGAAGACCAGCTGTCGTAAAATCGAATCCACTTGACTGAGTGAGCGCCCGTCGCTTGTCCCAGCTCCTGCCAACCTAGCGGTTCAAAAGCATGTAAATGTGAGTAGATAAATAGGTCATATGGATCTGTTATGCTTATACAGACCCCTTCTGGCTATCCAGGTGGTTCCGAACTTTGGGTTCCCCAGAGGTTCCTGGGGAAAAAACTCCTGGAAGTCTTCACCACTTACTACTCAAGGTTTTTGCAGTCTCTTCTGCTAGCAGATCTTCAGTAGCAGAGCCGTTCTGTGGATCGCTCCATGGCAGATCTCTGCAATCCACTGGCAGAAGACGCTTCTGCTCCTAAATCCTATAGACAGGAGTTTGAGTTAGAATGGCACTGCTTATTCTTTCACTTATTCTATTTTGTGTGTGTGTCCCCATAGACACAATTTTTGTTGGTTTTGCAAACCTTTAACTCAGTTTATTTAAACGTATCCGTTATGACTGCCTGATGTCCCGCCTTCCACTCCCCATAGGATGGAACTTTCCCTCCAAATCCATGACAGACTGGTACCATCAGTGCTGTATGTGACACCTCCCCCCTTTATACAAGCACCTGGAGCTCCCCCCTCCTTGGCGCCGGCTGTGCTCCTGGGCCGATGACTGGAAAGCCCTCTTGGATAGCAAGCGAGGGCTGTAGCGCCAGGCTTGGGGAAGGGGTTTCCCTCAGCAAACCCAGAGAAGCTCAGCCGTGGGGCGTAATTTAGGGCGAAATCCATACACGGACCCCCCCCAAAGCATAAAGGGGAAGGGGCTTGGGTTTGGCTACGGGGCCAGAAATGAGGGTCAGGAACAACTTCCCCCAAGAAGACACAGTGTGATGAGAAGGCAACCCCCCCCGCCGGTTTGCTGACATTGTTACAAAGCTGCCCATGGGGGGGCCCACAGAAGGGACAAAGGATCCAGGCCACCTCAGGAGAGGTTGCTAGACCTTGTGCCTGACTCCCTCTGGCCCAAGAGGGCATCTCTGGCTCGGGGTGGACCAGGGAGGGGTTCCCTCGGCCACTTTTCAGCTTTCTATGTGGCTTCCCTAGAGACGGTGGCCTTCCTTTGCCTCTGCTAATAATGTGGGGGGGGGGGAGAATGACTGTGTTTCCAGGACTCCAATCTTCTTTCTCTCAGCAAATCACCTTGGAAATTTTCTGAGACACAGGCGCATCCTTGGAAATCGCCACTTCTGGTCCCCCACCCACCAATTCCTAGTCAAAACCCAAAACAGGAGCATAGAGTCCTCAGGAATTCTATGTTGTGGGATAGAACTTCAGATTGTTAATGTTTGGACACTGGAATCAAAGCTTGATTTCAGGGCTAAAGCCTCTTGAGGCCTCGTTTCAATTAACTGATCTTCTTTTTCCCTCCCGGTTGGGCTTTTCCCTCAGTGTAAAAACTTTGAACTGCCCTAGATCCGTCTGTTTCTATAACTGGCAATGTTGTTGACGAATAAATTGGACTGAGAATCAACTAAACCTTCGTATGCAGATTCGAGGCTAAAATAATTTGCCGCACAACGTCATCTGTCATTTTTCTGGACATAAGCATCCCCATTTAATGGGGCTTACGTCAGAGTAGACATGTACAAGATCATGCTGTGTGAGTTCCTTCGGTTCCTTCTGTGCATGGGGCTGTGCAGGGTTGGGAATAAATACACTATTACACAGGATAAGGAGATGGAGGATCGCAGGCAGAGCTTGTCAAGCGACTTTTAAAAAGTAATTCCTTCTCACGACACTCTTTGAAAAGTAACAGTTGTTACATACAACCATTTTGGAAAGGTATCTCGTTAACATTTCTTGCACTGCTGGTTCATGATTGATAAGAGAGCTGCAGTAACATGACTGCTATTAACCATCCCTAAAACTGCCTTAAAATGCCCTTTAAAACCACCCCAGGGCCTGCGCCACCCTAGGTCGCCACGGAGGTCAGATTTTAGCAGTACACAATTGCAGAACTTAACAGCAAGGTTTAATTCCGACATACGGAGACCCAGGACTATCTAGGACTAAAGATGCTGTTCCTGAGTCCCTCCGCCTGGTGGTGCTGTGAGACCACAGTAAGGCTTCCGCAAGGCCATACAGGCGGTATGGGGTTCAGAACCCCATCAGGCAAACATCCTCCCGGTGATGTTGTTGGCTGGAGCATCTCCCAGGAGGCACAGCAGAGGTTCAAAGTCCCAGCCCCCCGGCTCTGCAACCAGGCCGTCCAACTCACTGAGGCTCATCAGCTCAGTTTCAAGTAGGTGCATAGTTAAAGACTCCCGGTTTTAGATTGTCTTACACATTTTTGATCCTGCTACTTGGCCCCTAGAGCCTCGACATGCTGCCAAACCTCAGTGGCTGCAATCCAATGGTCAGTTGCAACTAGAGCGGACCCATTGAATCAGTGGAACTGATGGAAGCGTTGACCCACCAAATCCCTATTTAATCCTTGCTCCAGTGTCCGTTGGCTACTGGGTTTCACTCAGTGTCCCTTCATCTGGTCCTGCCTCCGCTGCGCCTGACAGCAATGGCCAAGCTAGCTGGGAGAACAGAGGTAGGGCACACTGCATCTGGCTTTTTTCCTCTGACCACTTGGTACCGCTTCTTGGCCTTTGCTGACAGAGCCACACTCCCACACGCTCTGGCCAGTGATGGCAGTCAAACCCCTTCCACATCTGGATGCTTTCTTAATGGAGGCAACTTCATTTCTCACAATGGGGCCTTGAAAGAGAAGATGATGCCCTTTCTACCCCTTTCACCTGCACTGAAGTCTCTGCTCTTTGGCGACCCTCGACCTTGGACAACATGACCCTCGGAATGCGCTTGTCTGCAAAGTCTTCAAAAACCACCTCTGTCCTTGAGTTCTCAGCCAGAAAAGAGGTCTCAGGTGGGGAGAGACAAACTTGACCCCATGCATCCATCTTAACTGTGGTGCAGAGCTTGGACTGCTGATGGACATGAAGGAAGCCTCCTACGGTTTTCAAAAGTCTTAGTGATGACGACGATCGGGTGGAGAATCTGCAGAACAGCCCAGTGAGAGCAGGGCCCTGTCCGTGATGTGCCGTGGATTGCAGGGAACGGACAGCACAGCAGTAAGGGGATGAGAAGGGCCCTTCCTGGAGGAGAACTCGGTCCAAGAATACCCCTGCAGGGGCACCGTTTTGCTTAACCCCTCCCCATGCTCCAGGAAAGAAAGGGATTGCCAGTGCTCCTAAGCACAAGGGTTGTAAGCTTTTCAACTGGCCGTTCCCCGCAACAAAACCCTCTGTTTCAAGGGGTGGCCCTAGTGGTTATTTCCTACAGAATGATCTGCTGCTAGAAGTGTAGAAAACAGACGGGTTGGAAATGTCTAAGAACTCCCATCCATTCTTCGGGGTATTCTGGCATTGGACAGAAAAGGCCTGGACCGGCCATGTTTTGCCCAAATCCATACCAGCCCTGCAGTAAAGAGCTTCTTAGACTTCTTTTCCCGTTTATTTTCCCCTGAACGATCAGCCACATTAAACTCTAGTTGTCCGTTTTCATTACATCACCGAAGTGTTCCAATAATAAATCATGCACCATCTATTCTGACATAGGGTGACCCTACCTATAAGTTTCCTAGGGATAAAGAACTCAGAAGTGGTTTGCCATTTTCCTCTTCTGGGGCTGCTTTGGGACCGTGTAAGATGCCCAAGGATACTCAGGCTGGCTCTTCTCTTAGGAGGCACAGTGGGGAATCGAACCCCCTATCTCTGGCTCCACAGCCACATACTCCAAATCAAGTATTCTAACTCCACACATTGTCGCTTGGCTTTTATTTTATGGGTGCTAGGCTGCCAGAAAGACAAAAAGCGGGGTTCTAGATCAAATCAAGATCTAGAACTCACATTAGAAGCTAAAATAACAAAACAGGAAGACTGCACATATGACAAGATTCACTGGAAAATGTTGGAAGAGAGGAAGATTATAACGTGAGACGGTTTGATTCAATAAGGAAGCCATGACTTTAGGTTTGCAAGACCTGAGCAGAGCTTTGGACTTTTTGTAGGTTCTTAAGCAGCTTAACAGCCCATACCAACAAGTAATCGCACCCTCTTAGTTCACAAAATTCTTAGCATCTGGCAGTAAATTCATATTTCAGATGTTTCTATCTTTTACATTATCGTTGTCAAAACTCCAAGATTCCCCCCTCGGAACAAGAGGGACCGTCTTCCAAAATCCTTCATGTTCATCTTTTTGGAAAGATCCAGACTGAGAAGGTCACGATTCAGCCGCCAGAGGACGCCACCCACAAAGGGATGCTTTCATACCAAATCAAAACGATGTGCTGGGATCAAGCTGCATGGTTCCCAACATCCAAGAAGCTTCGGCTCTTTCCATCTTCTAGCGCTGGCTTAGAAACACGGGTCAGCCCAGATTCCCAGGCTGCTCCTTGTATGGCAAACGACTAGCGAAAAGGAGATTGTTTCCAAGGAAAGCTTTATTGTAGATAACATGCACCCTTGGAAGGTGGGGAAAACGGAATTAGTCCTTTTGCTGATATCGGAGCTAGCCACAACACTTCAGGCGTCTACTCCCTCGCCTGCTACAATGTGCATCTTTTAAGGATCCAGGGCTTTCTGCAAGAGCCCAGTTCGGTTTTGGATACGTCCTGCAGAACCCCAGTGACACGCAGATGCTCATGTTGAAGCCACCTCTGCAGAATGCAGAGATGATTCCGTTTGGACAACAGGTCTCACTGAATCATCAGATCGTGGAGTTGGAAGGGGCCTCTGAGGCCATCAAGTCCACCCCCCCCCGCTCAAGGCAGGAATCCTAATCAAAGGATATTGGGCAGATGATTGTCTAGCTTTCTCTTGAATACCTCCAGTAAGGGGCCTCTAAGGCCATCAAGTCCAAACCCCTCCCCCCCACTCAAGGCAGGAATCCTAATGAAAGGATATTGGGCAGATGGTTGTCTAGCTTTCTCTTGAATACCTCCAGTATTGAAGTGCTCACCACCCGAGGAGTTAATTGATTCCATCGTCATACTGCCCTAAGAGTTAAGAACATTTCCCTGATACAGTGGCGCCTCGCTAGACAGTTACCCCGCATGACAGTTTTTTCGCTAGACATTGACTTTTTGCGATCGCTATAGCGATTCACAAAACAGTGATTCCTATGGACAATGTTTGGTCCCTGCTTCGCAATCCATTTTTCACTAGACAACGATTTTGACAGCTCCCTCTGCGCTCGCAAAATGGGCGTTTTCAGGACCTAAGCTTCGCAAGACAGCTGATCGGCGGTTCGCAGAGCGGCTTTCCTATGGCCAATCTTCACTAGACAACGACGATTGTTCCCCATTGGAACACATTAAACAGGTTTCAATGCATTCCAATGGGGAAATGCTTTTCGCTAGACAATGATTTCGCTAAACAACAATTTCTGTGGGACGGATTATCATCGTCTAGCGAGGCACCGCTGTATTGAGTCTAAACCTGGCTTCCTGTAACTTTGAGCCCATTATTAGTTATCCTGCATTCTTAAGGCTGAACTTGCTCTTTCAGTCTTTCCTGCTAGGGCTTGGTTTCCAATCCTCTGATCATCCTTATTACCCTCTTTGTTCCAGTTTGTTGGCATCCTGCTTCAAGTGCGAAGCCCAGAACTGGACACAATACTCTAGATGGGGCCCAACCAGTGCTAAAAAGAGGCTAGGGCTTCTCGGGATTTGACGGCTTTACTTCTGCGAATGCAACCTAAAATAGCATCCCCCCCCCCCCCTCTTTGCACTGTTGGATCCTGTTCAGCTTGCAATCGACAACCGTTCCAAGATCCTTCTCTCCCAATCCCTCAGTCGGCTCCCTCCATGTATGCCACTGCTGCTTGCAGCCAACTGGAGCTCAAGGACTGAGCACTCCAAGTCCTTTGACGTCAAGAAGGGCTTGGTCAGCTCTGTTCTTTTGGCTGGGAGAACATCAGCCGGGGTCTTGGCATTTTCCAGTTGTTGAATTGAAACTGGCAGGATTCTACAACTAGCTGAAAGAAAAGGTTACTTTCAGCCTTCCCCTAGGGAGTGGGGAGTTCATCTTGGTAGGAACCCTGTTCCTACCAAAGCCATCATGAGTAGCACAGAGAAGCAGAGAAAATAACTGGCATGCAGAGCTGGAGATTCGCTCGGTTGTGTTGATCAGTGGAAAAACCCTACCTTTCTTGACCTTAGCTGGGTGGTGGGTGGGTATGGCAATATTACTATAAATATTGTCAAGCATCACAAGAGGCTTACATGTTGGGGCTTTTTAATGACTTTGTGGGTGAATCAATGGATGTCTCCCTGTCTTGAAACACCCAATCCATTGTTTGGACTTCTATGCTTTTCATACCCTCTCACTTGAAGAGTGCTGGACAACTCAGCAACTTTGCACGTTTTGTGCATGGAGAGCGACGGCTTATACCATGTGTATGATCTGGAGAAGAGGGTCTAGAGCAAGGCAAGGCGACCCTCTTTCCTCCAAAGGGACGGATTTC